CTCAGTGCCTTTCAAAGTAAAGGGGACTCTTCCTGTTTGTTTCAGTTAATCCAGCCCAATGTCTCACTCTTCTTAAAAAAGGGTTATATCCAAAAAAGGAACTGAGTCATTGCATCATTTATTGCTGTAATAACTAACTTTGATGCAGTCAGCACCCAAAGTCGAATCCAAAATACCGTATTAGAAACTTGGATTTCTGAAGCAAACAAAAGCCTAAAGTTAGAGTGAAAACACACATTGCAAAAATCCATTTTTAAACAACCCGTAAGTTAAGCAGAGAACTGCATACAGCTTTACTGATAAGAAGACATGGAAGAGCCATGTGTCTCAAATGAGACAGGATCCTGTTTAACTGTAGGTACTTTATTTGGAGGTGACCATCCAGCACCCCCAACCCCTCCCCTTTCCTTAAACCAACATCTCTTATTTTTAGAAGGGGATCTATACAAACGGATGGCTGGCTGAAGAGGAGACAACAGAGACAGCCTGTTCAACTCTAGATGAATGCTCTAGCCAGGAGGATTCCTTACAAAACAAAACCAAAAAAACCCCCAAAAAACCCCCCAAAAAACCAAAAAAAACCCCCAACCCCCCCCCCCAAAAAACCCAAAAAAACCCAAAAAAAGAAGAAAAAAAGGCAAGAAATACTTCTCTATGTTTTAAAAACATTGAATATCACTGCATTTTTACTAGCCTAATCATGTTAAAACTGCAGAGTATACCAACTGCATTAAGTCGTAAAAGAAGATGAAGTAGCTAGTGTTTGGTCCTCAGTTATGCTTCAGTCTGAGAGTGACAACAGACTGGTCAGCACTGCTGAAACTGGGATAATCATCTATGCAGAAAAAAAAAGTTACAGAGCCTAGGGAAAAACATTTAAAAATTAAGGACATTCACAACTTTCAGGCATCTCACACACAAGACAGACAAAAAAGAATTTACAGGAGCAGTTTTGGACTTCTGTTTTTGTTGTTGTTTAAATATGAATATCTGGGCCAAACATTTCTTCTCTTTGAAAGTCTATTACCATTTCCTAATCAAACTTTACCACACATTTCAGAACCTAACGGTATAAAACAGTCTTCTCTTTGAAAACTAGCAGATGTTTCAAGAGACTACAAAAGGACAAATAGAGTATTTTTCTTTAAAGAAACAATAAAATGAACTGGAAATTAGAAACCAGCCAACTTAATTAAAATTCCTGCACAAATTCGAAGTATTTGTAGATACCTGGAAAATAACAACATGATAAATAACAACCAACAAGATTTGTTTGTGACAATCTATCAAACCAACCTAAGTTCCATTTATGGTTCCACAGATATGAATAAACTGAAGATCTTCACTTCAGCGAGGCTTTTGACATTCTGTTCCATTGACATTTTCATAAGGAAGATCAGGAAGTTTGCTCTGGACAGAAACTACATAAATCTGGTTCAAAATTGGTTGTACACAGAGGATCACTATTAGTAGCTTACTATCAAACTGTAAGTTTATATCAAATAAAATTCCTCATACACTTCAATATTGTAGTATGTTAGGGTAAAGGCTTAGAGATTATGCTTATAAACCTGCAGCTGACACCAGGCTGAGAGGTACTACAAAGAGCAGAAGACAAGACTAGAGTTTGAAATCATTGCAGGGGGAAGGAATTCTATAAACACAAGCGCAAAGTTCTGCACTTATCAAGAAATAATCAACTGCACAGAAAAGAGATATTGTAATAAACTTGCAGAAAAAAAATAAATAGGTAGAGTGGATCATAAGCAGAACATGTCAACAAGTTCCTGAGGTTGAAAAAGGCATACAACCTACTGAGATGCATAATCAGAAGTGTTGTCACCAAGATAACTTCGAGAAGTTGTGGAAAGATTGGACAGGAGCTAGAGGGGTGCAACAAAAAAGGTCATGTGTTTCAGAACTCTGACTAAAAAAAGAAATAATCCATGCTTTTAATCAAAAAATGAAAGACTGAACAAAAATACGGTAACTTAGTTTATGTAGAAGGATGCTGAAAAAAGGAAAGGGAACACTGTCCTTTATATTCACTTTGAATAAGAAGGCTAAATTGAAGCAAAAGGGATTTAATCTAGAAATTTGAAAAAGGATAGGTAAGGACTAGACTAGACTGCCTGAGGAATGAGTGGAATCTGTGTTTAAGGCTTTAAGAACAGGTTAGGCAAACATCCATTACGGTTGTTATGTTCGTAATAGCTTATTGTGCCTTGAGGCAGGAGGATGACTGAGATTATGTCTTAAGGTCACTTCTGGCTCTGTTGTTGTTTTTTATTTGGGGGTGGGTTAAGTTTGAGATCTACATGACATCAGCCAACTAGCAGTGAGGTTTACATTAAGCCAAGCAACCCCTACAAAACAGTGTGAGTGCTGTATTTGTTAGCCCTCTCATCTCCTTTCCTGAACTGGGAACACAGTAAACTCATCTTCACCAATACTAGAACCTAACCAGTGGTGTTTGTGTGTAGTTGCACAATTTACCACAGTAAAACTGACAGCCCTGACTGAGACTTTGTTGCACTGCTGAATTATAACATGCAAATGAAATACACTTAGGACTTTTTCATGCGCTGTTTAAATGTTATACAAACACTCAGAAAAATCTATTTCTGTACTCTGAAGTTAAGCTAAAGAGTTCATTTATTAACCTCAAAGTCATTCCTAATGTATTTGATGTTAATACAAATGTTATCACAGAAGATAGCATAAGGAAGAATATATACTCATTTCTTAATTTAAGACCACTCTTATAAAATCTTGGTATCAAGTGCAACAGCAGCATTATATATCTAAAACAGACATGCAATTATCAGTCCAAACTGTGTTTTTAGATTTCTCTGCATGCTTAACTTTTAAATACACGGCTATAGTCTTTGTTAACTGATAACTGGTTAAGCAAAGTATTACTTAAATACTTCAAGTGCATTTTGAAAAGAAAGAAGATGGTGTAAATATTTGTAAGAGCCAGGACTTAAATTTTGAACAACCCTTTGTGCAAATTATTAAATAAAATGAAACCTCATGTTTTCATTTTTATCAATATGCAATTTCTGAATGAAAAGATAGAACAAGAGGACTGTTATGACAAACTGGTTTAGACATACTTAAATTCACAGATTCTACCTCATTTGAAGATTTCACAGCAGCTGTAACAGCTAATATCGACAAAACAGCTTCAAGTGTTCCCTACAGAAAGTGAATGAAATGGAAGCTAAGGAAGTAACACCTTCATTACCTGGTACAAATACAGCCTAATAAATCATAACAAAAGGCACTTTATTTGTTAACAGTTTAAAACATAAATATTGTACTTCTAGAATACTTCCACGAAAAAACTGTTACTCAAATAGGTCTACTTCTCCCTAGATTGTTCTTCCTCTAATCTTCAGATTCGGAGCTATGGATTAAAGAAACTATTTCAACTGAGTAAAATTGGTAAAATCAGTATCAATTATTCAAGCACATTTCTAAACTCTGAGAAGTCAGTGGCCAGAGCAAGCGAGAAGGTACAACCCAACTGTGAATGCAAACAGAGAAGCGCCAACAGTAAGCACATAAACATTTCGCTTTTATTTAGGGAAGAAAAAAAAAAGCAAACAAAGAACTACTCTGACACGAATCCAACGTGATTCATTACAAGACCTAACAAACCGGAAGAGCAGATAAGCAGATGTGCCTCAGCAAAGCTTTCAGAAGCCCACAAGAAAGAGAAAACCTGCAGCGGATTCCCGCCCCGGGAGGCCGCCGCCCCCTGCAGCGCGGCGGGGACCGAACGGCTGCGCCCAGCTCCGCTAACGCCCCGCTGGAACCCGACGCTGTTCGCCCTTGATCAAGCTCACCACGCGTTTGCGCTAGCACACGCACGCCATCACCGCACGCCCGTTAAACGTTATTTTTCCCTGAACGGGCCCGCAGCGGCACGGAATCCTCAAACACAAGCTCCCAAGGGAAACCAGCGAAACGCAAGTCCGCGCAGTCACGGCTAAAACAGCACGAC